CAGAAAGGGATTTTTCTCCACAGCAGAGCATTATACTTCTCGCTTTTAGAGCACCACAGGGCACGAAGTTCCAGGGGACACGAGAGCGCGTGGCCATCAATGTAATCAATACTGCACACTTATTGCTTCGGGAGGGTGGGAGGCATGGATCCCCCACCATGGGCACTGCAGATCGAGGGGTGCTGGGCACTGCAGGCTGGGGGCCGTCGGTGCCTCTGTGTCCCTTTGGGAGCTGGGACCACCTGAGAGCGCCGAGCCGCGGGGCCGCGCTCAGCCAGGGCCGCCCCCCGCCGCTTCCCTCCGGCGTCACAAATCGTCCCCCGCAGCCCTTCCAGATTAAACCATTTTTCTTTTAAGGAGATTAGCTGTGGCTTTCCATGCAGGGAAATGAATTGGGCCACAATTAATGTCGCTTCCCCGTTTGCCCGCTCCCTTCGTGCGCGCTGTGAATTAGAGCTGAAAGCAATGCTGACCGTGTCCATAATGCTCTGTCACTTCAGAAATAATTTGGTTGTCTTAAAGCTAATATATAATTACCACCAGCAAATATTTCTTCTCCGTGAAGCCCGATGGTTCCCTGGAGTCATCTTCCAGTTTTTCAGCAACTGCTCCTCTAATCAGGGGCGATGCATTTGAAATTTCCAAATCAAAGCCTGCAAATGCTAACGGGCAGCTTTGGCTGGGCACTGCTCGGTCCTGGGTGGGAACAGGAGGATGGAAAGGTCACAGTCCCGCAGGAAAACCTTGAGATAATCTTTGTGAGCAGCGGCCAAAGGCTTCCACGCACCTCACTCACGTCCTGTGCTCAGAGGAGGTGGGGAGATGAGCCCTGCCCTGGCACAGCCCCGTTGCCCGTGGGTCCCTGTGCCCCCCAGTGCTGGGCGATGCAGGGTTGGCACTGCCCAGCGCCATCGATCCGCCGTGTGCCTGCAAAGACAAACCCAAACAGATTCGTCTGAGGTGAACCAAAGCATTTCGCTCGGATTTTGACCTTTTAAAGAAAATGAATAATGCATTTGAAAATAAAAACTCATTTCAGACTCGAAAATCACAACACTTCCAGCTGGAAATGCCAGGGCAACGCATTATAACACCTAATTTCTCTGATTCCTGACGTGGAAAATCTGTTCAGAGCAGCACCTTTCAGCAGGAGGGGTGAGCAAAGCCCTGGAGGATCACCCGGGCCCCACACTGCTGCCATCTCAGCCACCCCCTACGTGTCATGGATTGATTGCTGATGAAATGATGCACCGGGCTGTAATTGCCCGCACAGCTCTGTCACTGACCAGGACTGGGGCTGCTCAGTACCAGCACTGAGGGAGGGCTCCATGGTGGCACTGGAGCTCGTTGGCTGAGGGGCTCTAGGATGTGTTTCCTGCCATTGAAGGCTGCTAGCAGGGGAGGTGAGGATGATGATGAGGTGGAGGAAGGCCCCTCCATGTCTGCCCCACCCCCGACCCCAGCCACCCTCGTTGCTCCCAATGCCCTGCACAGCAAAAGCTCGTTAGCAGCCTGGAGAACGTTTGCTTGCTGTTGCGGTGCCATTTTCAAACAAGTCTCTCATCTTTCAATTTGGCAGGCAATCTGAATACCCATTTTAACTAATAAAGACACCCGGTAACATCTTATTACAACGCTGGCAGGCTCCCAGCCAACGCTATGGTGATCTTTTGTTCAAATCGGGTTTTCTCCATTTCTTCCTCATAAAGGGAAAAAAAAAGATGCGGTCCCCCTCGTGCCTTCCACTCCCACGTGTCTCCCCCCGTCCACCCCGCTGCCCGCAGCGCCCATCGCTCTCCTCCCCCGTCTCCCTGCAGGAACTCCTTCCCAGGAGCTCCACGCACCCCTGCGGTCCCTTTTTCATGCAAATGCCGGTTTGTGCTCTCCGGGAAGGAGCCGAAAGCTTTGTCATGGAAACTTTCTGCTTGGGTTTGTGTTTCAAAGCTGCGCTCACTTCCCCACTCCCCTTTCCCCCCCCCCTCGTTCTTTCTTTTCAGACAAAGCATCAGACTTCCACCGCTCCACTCCAGAAGTCGCCCTTCTCCCCTCCGCTGTGAGCATTCAGCGGCTCTCAGCCTGCGGCGCGACCCAGCGGGGGGCGGGATAAGGGCCATCAGGTGCCTTGATGGGCAAAGAGCCTTCTTGGAACTCGGCGTGATGTCTGGCACCGAGGGAGTTCATATTATGGGATGGCTGCCTGGCGCGGCCTGCCCTGAGCGCGTGCTGCTCGGTTCCGAGGGATCTTTCCAAAGGCAGAGCAATGAGCAGAGCTGGAGCCCCGTGGCAGCCTGGTGGGAGATGGATCCCAGGGCCCCCAGGTCTCTGAGTGCTTCCTTCTCTCGTAGCATCCATCACAGAGGCTCAACTCAATCCCACCTATTGCTTAGAGCTGAGCTTCCACCCAAACCACACTTGCAGGGGTGTTTGCAGTGCAAGCACAGAGAACACTGGAGCTGCTTTCCTTCTTGCTCCAAAGCAGGAGGAACTGGGAGCAACTTTGAAAACACCCTCGCACCAGGCTGGAGGAAAAGGGGTGTCAGGAGTTTCCTAATGAAACTCCATAGGTTTGGGATGGGAGTTTGGGACGGAGTGAGGTGAGCAGCCTCCCCAGCGAGCAGCATTCTGGGTGAGCTTGATTGGAGAAGCCAGCTGTACTCAGCTGCCTCAGCAGAGATAGGCTGTTTTTACCTTCTAACCTGATGGGAGGTAATTACACCACTCCTGCCTCCTTATCTTAAAAGCCAGAGCTCTTCTGTGCCCTCCTGCCGGCACCTGGAACGTTCCCTGCTCACACGTGGGGCTGAGGAGCTCCAGCTCTCCTCTTTCAGAAGCCCATTTCAGATGCACTCAGTGCTGGTGCACCCAGCACAGCTGCTCTCGCGAAGCAGATAACTTCTGACCTCTGGAGCTGGGGAGGCTGGGAGCCACACGGAGCACAGCCCTGCACCCAGCTCAGGGGGGAAATGCCCTTATCCTTGAGCCAGGCAATACAAGGTCGCTCCCTCACTGCACGTCCACACACGGTGATTAATTACAGCACAGCAGCACCAGGGGACGTTTTTATTTCAAACACCACGTAGGTGGTGCAGGGTAGGGGAAAAACCAACGCTGCAAACCCAGGTCCATGAGTGCTGAACAGCAGGGAGCAGGCAGGGGTTGTGCCTGGTCATGCACCAGAGGAACGTTTTGGGCTTCCAAAGACAGTCACCAACACACTGTTTGTTCTGGTTGATAGGCAAAGTTCAAGGGATGCTCTGCAGCTAAGTCCTGCCTGGCTAAGGAAATGATTTTTGATGTGTTTTCCTCTCAAAAGCACAGGATGGGGGAATTGGGATGTGGTGTAGGATTCCCCCTTTACTCCACTTTTTATTGGGCTTTGGTTATTTCCATTCACATTGATGCACTTTCTTCCCAGGTATTGGTGGCCGCGTAAAAATAGATGTGGGCATAAATATGGAAGCAAATAATTAACTGATTAACCCCCACTTGGGAGGGTCGCTGCTGATGAAACAGCTGCAGGCAGGGTTTGCTCAGCGCCTTCTCTCTGCATTGGGTGCTGCAGAGCGACTCCTGCAAACACAGCCGGGACAAAACCGCAGAGGGAGGGCAGAGCAGAATCTGTAAGAGAGGCGGGCAGCTCCAAAGGCGGAATTAAACACCCGGCAGAGCTTTACAGAGCTCCTCCTCTCACCTCCAGTCAATCCCGCAACCTTTCCGTGACCCCTGTGAAATTACCTCCATCAGAGCTCCGTGCTCCGCTTGCACTCCTCGAGAAACGTCGGGAGAAGAATCAGTTGCACGTTAACGACTCGGTGTTGTCATTAAGGGGGACAACTTCATTAGCAAGTGTGAACAAAAGCAGCGTAACCGCTGCTGCCATCGCCATCCCAGCGCTGTCAGAGCCCGCAGGAGCAGCGCTGCCCCTGCAGGGCCCTTAAACTGCTCCTGACTGGACTGAGCTTCAAAGAAAGTGGAGTTTAATTAAAGCTAATGTAGTGAGAACAAACTAATAGGCAGCAGAAGGGTACGTTAAAGCCCTGCCACGATTTATGGTACTTTGCAGACTGAGGGATGTGTTCCAAGGGGGCACAGCTGTGACTCGCATTCCCCCCCCCTGGAATGGGAGACCTGTGGACCTTCCCCATCTGCAGCAGCCAAGGATAAAGCACCAAGTCATTGATAATCCTTAAGAAACGTTATGATATGAAAACGTAATGAAAATTTTTCATCTAATCGACTTTAATAACCCAACAGAGGGACCTCTCTGCATTGCAGACAGCACAATAATTTTCTAAAATATGAGCTGTCGTTTCGCATCAGTCCTAAGGAGGCAGAGTAACTCAGAGTAACTCAGCACACCATTCACTGGGGCTGCAATTCATCCCCCTAACACCCCACAGCAAGCAGTGCCACAGCTGCCACACTCACAGCCACCCCAATGGCTGGGAGATGGGAGCAGTGGGGACAGCCTTCAGCCAGCAGGGATCCGGCCCTCCTTTGCTCCATGCTTTTGTTCTCATCTCCTTTTTCCTCTCTCTGCATAATGAATCTTCCCCTCCGTAGAACTCACAGTGGATTTCCAATAGTTACGTCAAGGCCAAGCAAGTCAGCACTGTAAGTAGGGGCAGATAAATTAAAATCCTGCCAGGCTCACCAGCAGCGCAGCCGCTTCCTTCTAATCCATTAGTGAAAATGAAGCCATCAGAAAATTAGGTGCTGCTTGATGTTTTCTGGGTACTAATGATCGTGACTTAACAGAAATAAATGCGGTGTAAAGTAGTGAGGGAGAAGGGGAGCATTTTAGCAAACAAGATTAAAACAGATTGCGGGAGGGCCATTGCTCTTCAGTCACAGCTGTGACACAGGGCAGGTCAGCCCAGCAATGCTGGGACCCACTTGTGGGAATGGGCTGACACCATACTGGGGACCACAAGTGCTCCCCCCACGTGGGTTTGGGGCTGCAGGGAGGGCTCTGCCCAACAAGGGACACCACGATGCTGTCAGAGCAGGGCACAAATTTTATTGGTCTCGAATGAGTAGAAAAGCATCACCAACTCCAAATGATTCGTTTCTGCAACATTCGATGGCGGGTACAGAATCCTTCAGAAACATTTTGTAAACTTTAAGTTAAAAACACACAAAGATTTAAAGCCCTTGCAATATAAACATTAAAAACATCTAACAAAAATTAAGACCTTCTGCAGTTGTGGCACACAGCGGTGAACATCCCCCCTTCCTGTTCTGAGCACAGGGCAGCCTGGTCCAGCAGCGGGGCTCCCATAGGGCCAGAGGGACCCCACAGCAGAGTGGGGTGAGATGAGAAGCAGACACGTTGCCCTCACCTGTGCGGGGCTGCATTGCCCAAACGAGGACCAAGAGCCGTGCCACAGCTCAGTAGTAGATGACCTTCACACAGAAGGTCTCCTCGTTCTTGTCCTGGTGGTCGTTGATGTGGATCAGGATCTCCTCCTCACCCACGCTCTGACTCGGGGCAAAGCGCAGCCCGATGGTGTACACCTCCCCCCCAGCAACCTGCACACAGCACAGCGGGCACGTGGGGAGGCTGGGGGGCATCAGGGCGCCTGCTGCAGCTCCTATGGGGGGTAGTGCTGTACCTGGAAGGAATCCTCCCTGAACTGCAGCAAGTCGGGCCGGCTGGTGACCAGAAAGTACAGCCTGCGTGTGGGGTAGGGGTTGGTGTAGGTGATGCGCTTGTTGGAGCCCTTCCCGCTGCCTGCAGGGATGGTGATCTCAAAGGCCTGTGGGGCACAGAACAGCACTGAGGTCAGACAGAGCCTGGGCTGCTCTGCTGTGCACCTGAGGGGAGCCCAGCACACCTTGCTGCCCTGTGTCCCACTCCCCTGCTGCTCCATGCACGCTCAGTTCCTGCCATCAGCGACACGCGCAACGACCTCTGAGTAAAAGCATCTCCTCAGGCTGCGGTTTGCATCACTACATCCACAGCAGTAATTATGAGACTGAGTGACAAAGGGCCAGAGGAGCAGCTGGGGACCGGCCAACAAACGCTCTGACTAATTAATTTATTTCCACGGGGATAACCATGGTGCTAATTCAGATAACACGGCAGAGCGCAGGGACTGGGGCTCGCACTCATCAGGAGTGGAGTGACATCAGTTTAAATGCTGCTCTCCACCTCACCCAGCACCAAGTGTTCCAGGAAAACATTTCTAAAACGAACACGTTAACTGGGAGATCCAATTTTCTATCTTTGAGCAAAGTCCTAACCTAGCACAGTGCTAATAGAAAGCAGCATGCTGTAACTTTAATTTCACAACTGGGTATACTTCAGAGTTGACACTCCTCAGCATGGAATTGCCTTCAAAACAGGCTGAAAGATATTTTATGATGGTCTTCAGTGAGATTATTCAGGCACTGGAAGGCTAAACGTGTGCTCCAGAGCTTAAGTGAGATGGGGAAATGGAAATAGTAACAGGCAGCATGGGTAGAGTCCACACACATCCTGCAGTCCTGGCAGGTAAAGACAAGTGATCCAGAGTTACTCTGCAATACTGCTTTAGGAGATTAACTCAAAGAGGACAGTTAATCTCTAATCTGTCAGTAATTCTTAGAAATTGGCTTTAGGATCCTTGCTCATGACAGCTGGGAATAATGGCAGTGTCTGCACGAAGACCAAGCGCTCGCCCGGCGATCGATGCGCAGCGGCACGGCTCCCAGCACGCGTCCCTCCTCATGCACAGAGGAGGAGAATGGATACCAAGAGCGGGTGTAGATAAAGCAATAAGCAGCAGCCAGCCCAGGCTGTCAGCACGCACAGCCCCCAGCCCAGTGGGGTCACCACGCTGACCCCCCCCACCTCCCCATGATTACCTTGGAAATGAGCGGCTGTCGGCAGGTGACGCAGAGCAACCAGGAGGACACCAGCTGGTGGCACTCCACATCCACCAGGTTGAGGTAGAAGAATCTGCTGCCAGCCCGGCGCGGCCTCACACCCACAAACAGATCCAGGACCCCATTGGGGGGCAGCGTGAACACACCTGCTGGGTCCACCTGCAAACACACCGCAGAGGAAGGAGCACGGGTCCCATCAGAACCTCCTCCCTCAGCTCCTGATGCTCTGAAGTCACAAAAAGCCAGAACAGGGTGTCCTCACTGAGGAGACGGCATTGGCACCGCTCACAGCTGCTGCCAGCATCCTGGGGAACCCCCCCGAGAGGGAGCAGAGGGATAAACGAAGACAAACTGTGTGCAAATCATTTTTGGATGGCAGGCTGGCACCCCTTGGCAGGAACAGCTGGGAGAGAATCTGCACCTCCATGAGGTCCAGCTCAGAATACAAATGAGCTCTGATTACACTAAGGAATGCACACCTATGATTGGAACATTTAATCCCATCTGCACTAATGAAGCAGGTCTGGCTGCATGATGGTGCCTGTGCCAACAGCAGCCTGCACTTTGCCCAGCAAGAGGACCCTAACAGTGCTTTACCAACAGCTGCAGGGATCTTCTCCTACCCGCACTGCTCGCTCTGAGCACCGCAGCAGAACCCAATGCACTGCCATCAGCATGGCCAAGGCACAAAGCTGGCATGGCACGGGGAGCAGGCAGTCCCCCAAACTTGGACTGATGGCACACACCACTGTGGTGCCATCCTCAATGGGATTCATTCCCTTCTGCAGTCTCAGAGAGCTGAGATTTTTTTTCCCCTTTGTTTATGGGACAGTAATGGGGTTTTTGTTCCTTTCATTACTCCCATTTACAATTATGACTAAATGAATTCTAAAGAAATTATTAGTCTTCCAATAGTCTCATTAACGCAGATAATTTGCCCTCTGGGGCTTCGTACCAACGATCCTACACACGACAGCTTTAATCAAGAGGTAATTATCACCAAGGCATTTTTCCTAACTCCAAATGGGACGCGTTGCATTTCTAAGGGTTACAGAGCTGCCAGCCCAACCCAGCACCCCAGGGACCCAGCAGGAGCCCCGAGGCATTACCTTCAGCTCATGGGGATGGGAGCAGAACGCCTTCACCCTGCGCAGGGTGCGGGTGCCGCGCAGCGGGACGGCCAGGCGGGAGAGCTGCCCTGCAGTGCAGCTGACATCCAAACGCTGCAGGGAGTGCAGGTAGAACTGCCAGATGTGCAGCGGCGTGGCCAGCCAGGGGTCCCTGCAGCGAGACGAAGCAGTGGCACAGCCCCTGCCTGCTGCGTTCAGCCCCAAGACCACCCCAACCTCTGGGCAGACCTCTCCACGGGAAATTTCAGCCTTACTTGTGCAGAGAGAGTGAATGAGTACAGAGAAGCTGTCTGCTGCACTCAGAGCATTATTTACGGAGATTGGAAAAGCAAACAGGTGTTTTGGGAAGCCTCCTGCCTGGCTTAGCGAGCAGGGCTCGGGAACGAGCAAGCAAGAGAACATGGATGGGAACGTTCCCTCCTGCTCTGCCTGTGCTCTGGGTGGTTCCTTCTCCTCTCTCTGGCTCCTGTTACTTACGTATAAATAACAACAAAGAACGTTTTGATCTGCGGGCTTGGTCCTCCAGCTACTTTTAAGAAGACGTCCTGTGGTTCCCCAGGACCCTGCGCACAGAAATCAGAGCATCGTTAGGATGGTTAACCCAGAGATCAAACCAGCTAATGAGGACTCCAGGGTTTCCTTTCTATTAATGAAAAAAACACCAACCCACTTACAACAGCAGATGCTTTCAGCATCTAGTTAAAAACCACATTATTAAGTTATTATACAGCGTGGTTCAGCTCTTCCAGTATTTTTAATTACAAAAGAGGACACAAACGACTCTTGCATTCCAGGTTTGCATCCATAATCAAATTTTGGCAAATTTTCCCTACGTTTTCTAACAAGCCATAATCCAATTACCATTGGATTATGCACTGGCAATTAGTAACTACCCTTCATAACCGTCTGTGTTCATACACACACTTATTTTTTTCCACTTCTATCTCAAGCAGCAGAAAGAGAGCCTTGCAGACCTCACATCTTTGCTGGGAAGTACAAAACTGAAGTGGAGTTTGGGGAGACACACAAAGCATCTTCCAGGTGAACTTTGAGGGCTTGATCCAAAGTGACACAAAGTAAAGAAGACACCGGTATTGATTTGCACCAGGTCAGGAGGGAAACAGGGCTGGAACCAACCTCCAACTATTTGCTCTCCAGGAAAACAGGCACAACATCAGGCATCAGATACCAAAACAAGGCAGCCCATTTTAATTGGAATCAAGGGCAATTCTGCCTTAATCACCACCAGTATTTCACATTCCTACAGGCTGACAGATCAGGATGCTGCCATGGGTGCAGGGCTGATCAAAACAGCAAACCACAGGAGGATACAAAACAAAGCAACACAGGAGTGTAACTGGTACCATATTTTTGGTCTCACAGATGACATTAGGGTCACTGCAGCGGACATAGACCTCAGGATCACTGCTCGGCATCCTCACTGGAGCACCTGCAGGAGGCAACACCACGTGTGACACCACAGAGCATTTTATTTATGCTTTGTTCTACGCCATCGCACAGCCGTGAGCTGCAATCCCTTACGTTGAGCTATCAGAGAGCAACCGGGTCATACTGGTTCAAGAGAGTATAAAATTAGTGCAAGCAGATGGACAGAAAGCAAGCAACGAAGCCCAAGGCCATAGCATGAACAGTCTTTGAAGATGCAGAGAAACCATCCCTGATGGTGGGAACTCGCTCTCTGGATGCCACCCCACCTCCTGGCAGAGCCCTGCGGGTCACCTGGGAGCGTGTGCCATGGAGGCAGGCGGAAGGCCTTCTTCAGGAAGGTCAGCTCGGGGTGGAAGAAGCGGAAGGTCTGATCCACCACGTGGGGCCGGGGCTCAACCTTCACCTGCAGCAGGGCGATGGGTTTGCCCCCGCTCACACAGAAAGCCACCTGCAATAGGGGGGGCAGAGCAGAGAGGCTGAGTGCCAGGCATGGGAACAGCGTGGTGGTGTCAGCACTCCGTTCCTGGGGCTGGGAGGCAGCTCCACGATGCAGCAGCCAACAGCCCCACGTGTCTCTGCATCCCCACCTGGATGAGCCTCATCTGCGCAGCCGTTGGCTCCTCCTGTGCCCTCCCTGCATCCTCTTCTTTGCTCAGCCCCATCGGTTCCTGCAGGAAACAAAACACTTGGTTTTGGAAGAAGCCCCACGACACATAAGCAGTGTTTCCTCGGCAATTCCACCGTGTGCTCTGCACCCAAGCATGATGCAGCTCTCAGCATACCGGCACCGCTGTGACAGCCGGCTCTGTGGAGAACATCTGGTATCGGAAGGGAATGTGCACAGTCTCCTTGGGGCGCAGGTAGATCTGAGGCCTGAGGTCATCCCGCAGGTGGAACATGTCCTCCTCCAGCGGGGTGGCCGTCTGGGTCAGCTCCTTGAAGTGCCTCCATTCCCTTGGGTCCAGTATGACACTGGAGGAGCGAGAGGTGGAGCTGGTTGGTGTCCCATTACCCCGGGTGCATTGGGAGAGGTCCAGCACCAAAGCAGGCAGGAGACCCTGAACAGACCCCAGCAACGGGGACAGAGCCCGGCACAAGCACTGTGAGCACACACACAGGGATGGTTGTCGGCGCTACCTGAGCTCGGGGTGGTCAACCTCAACCGTCACCGTGTGCTGGGTGCTGTAGGGGTTCTTCAGGGCAAACTCAAAGAACTCGGCCGTCCCCAGCATGGCGTACACAGTGTGGGTGACGGTGATGGCCTGGCTGAGCATTTGGGAGATATACCGCTGCTTGGTGCGCTCTCGGTAGGCATCGATGATCTGCAGGTACTGCGTGCACTGCTTAGAGCAGCCCTGCAGGACGGAGGGGACTGTGAGCCCGGAGGCAGCACAGGTTGTGCCAGGCACCCGGCCCGCCCTCACCTCGTGCTGGGGGATCCTCCTGTTACCACCCTCCTGCTGCTGCAACGCTGCCAAGCACTGCATCTTGCGCTGCTGGATGGCCGCGGCCTCATGCGGGGCATGCAGGGGTTCTGAGCTCTGCTCCAGCCGTAGGCTGCACAGAATGGCTGCCAGCTC